TTTCTGTCATTAACTTTGCCAAGGTCTTTCGTAAAGGGCTGGTTATACTCCTGCAGCAGTGGGTCACAGTGAGCCTGTTGCAGATATTTTTGATTTATGCCCAATATAAAGTGTGGTCTGCGTTTTAGATTTTACCAGGAGTTAAACTATAAAGACATCTAAAAAATAAGTAAATAAAAGCTTATTACAGAATACCCTGTTGCTGGAAATACTCACAGAATGCATGGGCCAAAGTCAAAAGGGTCAATCCCAACCAAGAAAGAGTCTTCATGGTGGAGTTGAGATTAGATGCAACCTGTGATGATAAATTTGAAGGGAACTAAACAGGGACAGTTGTGTGCAACCCTACTAGCAAACAAAACCGCAAAAAATCTAAATAGAATTGCCAAGTATGTGGTAAAGATTTACCTTATCTTTCTCTGGGGTAAGATAAATCCTAGAGCCTCAGTCTTCCTTTGCAAGATGTTGAGTTGTGAGTGAGAATGAACACTCTTCTCTGTTAAATACCTCAATTCAAGGATACTGAAACGGATCAGACATCCTCATTCAGTTTCAAAAAAGACAGTAAAGTAAATAGACTCAATATATATTATATTGATAGGAAAATCAATCAAAGCATTCATGGCACTAAAAAAACCAACACCTTTGACAAATATAAAATGGACGCTTAAGCTTCTAATATATTTACCCAGCACTCAATTTCTACAATTACAGGTGTGCTAGAACAAAGAATACCTTTGGTGAAAAAAACAGGGAAAATGATTGTTAGATTTAAGTAGGAATTATTAATAACCCAGACAGGTTTAGGTGAAAATTAATATTTCATTTGTTACATGTTTCTTTAGGTACAAAGTAAGTTCTTATGAAAATTAGAAATATCATAAGAGACATCATATGTCTCCTATTCTAGTTTCTCTTCATTGGCTTCCTGTCAAATCCAGAACAGAATTTAAAATCCTTCTCACATATAAACCTTAAATGGCCATGATCAGGGATCTGGTGATTGCTTATGTTTCCAACAGTATTTAAGTATTAACTATTTATCATCTGCATTATTTCTAATATTTCAGATTTGGTTAACTTTTTAATTTTCTTATGAGTTTCATTTAAATTGATTGTAGATTTTCTTTTCTTTGTTTTTTTGTTGGGCTGATAAAATACTTATTATTTAAACATTTATTCCTTCATTTCATTGGAAAAATACAGAAAAAAATGCTGTTTTATGGGATGAATTTTATGTAAAATAATATGTATATCTAGGACGAGCTTTAAAAATATATATATAGTATTCCATTAATCTTTAAAGGAAATACACTGCCACGTATTTACTTTTTTTTTTTTTTTCTCCTGTCCTGTCTGGCAAGGTGGCAATAAGAATAATTGTCTTGATGCCAAAAGGAGCCCAACAGATTTTACTTT